AGTGTGTCGCCAATGTAACCGGTTAAAACTCAAAGTGGCGATGAGGTCTTAAAATGTATGGGGAGGGTCTTAAAAAAGGTCTTAAAAGGTCTTACATTTGACTTCAGGATTCCTGCATATACCCTGGGTTCATACTGGGTAGTTTATTTAGTTTAAAAAAAGTATCCGCTGATTTACAGACGTCTCTTTCCCGATGTTAGTCAATGGGAGAAAGTAGTTTTGGGCCGGGTGACGTCTGATACGGAAGTTGCAGTACCGCCGTTTGGACACTACGAATGTTGGGCACAGAGTCCGGCGCACTTCCTGGGGGCTTGGGATTAACATGCACTTGTTGGCGTCCATGTTTATTTTGGTCCAAGAACATTTAATAGTTGGCCTCCATGTTTGTTTTCGTACAATTATAACACTTGGCATGCATATTTGGTTTTAGGAAAGAACATGTTTTCAGTTGGCATCTACGTTTATTTGGGTATAATATATGTAACGGTTGGCGTCCATGTTTGTTTTTGGAAACAAACCATATTACAGTTGGTGTTCATTTTTTATTTGGTACAAGAACGTGTGACTGTTGGCGTCCTCGTTTGTTTTGGTATGATATATATAATAATTGGCGTCTATGTGTGTTTTGGGAAATTAACATAATACAGTGGGCATTCATTTTTTATTTGGTACAAGAACGTGCAACAGTTGCCGCCAATGTTTGTTTTCCAAGAAGAACCTGTAATAATTGGCATCCATGTTTGTTTTTGGAGAAGAAGATGAAGTAGTTGACGTCAATGTTTGACCAAAAACAATCAGTGCAATCCAAGTCGTGTTGTTTGTTGGGTTTTTGTTCTGCTAGATGCCAAGCTTTAGGTATTGTGAGGACATTGCGTGTGGCAGGAAAACATTACAGACTCACAATACAAACAGGAAGCAGTGAAGGTCTGTCGTGAGACGCTTCTTTTGAACTAAATCACGGGGGAGCTTTTAAAATCTTCTGAGAAAGTGTTCAACGAAGTGAACCCAGAAAACTTGCTTGCTTTAACGAGGATTAAGTGAATACTTCCTCTAAAAAACACACGGTGTGTGACGGCAATCTCAAATTAACTGCTGAGGTAACGCTGCCAACTTAAGACATCAAAGCCATTTTTTGTGTTAATGGTTTTTGCCTGACGTGGGAAGTATTGTAGTACAAATACTTTGTTAGTGTACTTAAAGGTGGGGTAGGTAATTTTGGAGAAACCAGCTAGAATTTGAAAATACACAGCCGGAACAAATCTGCCACTTCCTCACAGAGCCCCTCCTCCAACACACACGAACGCGCACATGACCAATGAGGGCACGAGGTGAGTTTGTGCCCCGATGGAAGGCTGACAGGCAGGTAGGCCATCCAGTTACTTTAGCCGGCTCAGATGATTGGTCGAGCTTTTTACAGTATTACGGCTTCCACTGATGAGATTTATTTATGGATTTATTGTCAAAGCACTTCAGATATTCATTGCGGGATGTTAAGAGCATTCCATGGAATATAACAAAAAGTGTATCTCGAGCCGGTTTCTCAAACTTACCCCACCTTTAAGTGGATGTTTCTGGTTTCAGTACTTTACTCACAAATACTGAAACTTTCTACTTCTCACTTAAAACAGGCTTTAGTTTTAATCTGCATTTGGTGGCGTTATCATTATTTTTAAGAGTCATTGCGCGCCTATTTCAACCTAATATCATGCCGAAAACACGATCTGTGCATATATGACGATGACAGTATTACAATTTGAAATAGAATATGTTTATTGTTCTATTAATATAAAGGGAGGTCAGGTACTCTTTAAAACAGCTGCTAGTTATGGGTTCTTTTTACTGAAGTACATTTCAAAGCCTCTTTACTTTGACTTGAGGAAAGACGTTTAGTCAGTACTTCTACTTTCACCAGAGTATCTTTAAACACGAGTATCTGTACTTCTACTTGAGGAAAGGATGTGTGTACTTTTGCCCTCTCTGTGTTTAGGAGAAAGTACTTCTTATAATCTTAATGTGAGCCTCTTATTCTTGATATTATTAAAGATATGAAGTGGCTTTCTCAACAAAAATGCAAACTAATAAACATATATTTCTGTAGTTATGAAACACTTTCTTATATTCTTTAAATGTATATGTTTATCATGGTTGTTTACGTCTTTAAACTTGACTTTAATGACAAATGATCGTTCAGTTTCAATATTGAAATTACTTGACATAGGATATATAAAAGGAGGAATTGTTTCGCTAGATTTGGTTTCTTTCGGCTCACAATTATTTAAAATCAGTTCTAAAAATGCATCATTTCTGACAAAAGAGAATATATAAATCCACTAAACCTTTATTTCTGGACAAATAATAAGAATTGAGATGAAACCCTCTGTAACGGTACCAGGAGGCTAGTACTAGGACTATTTCTACTTGTACTTCAGTAAAAGATCTGAGTACTTCTTCCACCTCTGTTTGCAACTGTACTCTTCAGGAGCATAAAACGCAATCTGTCCCGTGAGACCTCGTGTTCGTGTCCTCTCGTAACTCTGCAGAAATCCCGCTGGTTTGAAGCCGACACAAATGTATGATACGAGTAAAATCACTTGACCCTCTGAACCTCCTTCAGAAGGAGAAATACATGAAGTGTGAAACACAGAAAGCCTTAAAGTCTTATGAAGACCTGAGGGACTCTGAAGACGCACAGGAGTTCAATTACAGTGAGAAGAAGAGAGCAGTAAAACATCTTCACTGACGGAAGAAACAAGTCATAAAATACACGTTTGACCAGAAGATGATCCGTATGCAGAATGTTCCATTTCATCATGATGCAAATAAAGATCAGCACTTGAGTAAGTTAACAAAGAAGAAGAATGGAAGGGATGAACCCCTCTTTAATGGTCTCACATGCAGAGCACACAGTGACATGTGTTCTCTGCTTTTAACCCATCCCAGTACCGGGAGAGGAGTGCACCAGCTGGGCGTAAGAAAGTAGGTCTTAACTCTAACGTCGGGCTTAGTGATTCGAATTTAGTTAAGGAGTCTAGTTTATGTTTATGTTTATTAAGGATCCCCATTAGCTTTTGCTCTCGACAAAAGCTACTCTTCCTGGGGTCCGACACTTAAAACAATACAACAATAATACAGCAACATTTAGGACATAAGTCCTGACATCATTAACAACATTAAAAACATCACCAATATCATCAACAACATGCGATCAAATGAAGTTAGGGTTCACAGCTCACAGGGTACGGTCATCAGTCGATGGCCCTTCGATCTCTTCTTGAAAGAGAGCAGTGGGCAGCTGTTGCACAGCGCCCGGGGAGCAATGGGAGTGGGGGGGTGTCCGGTGCCTTGCTCAAGGGCACCACGGCAGAGCAGGAGGTGAACTGGGACCTCTCCAAGTAGCAGTCCACACTCCATATTTAGTTCGGGGACTTGAACCGGCTCCCAGTCCAAGCCCCTCCTGACTGAGCCACAAAACCTTCCACATAAGAGACCTTTTTACATATTTTAATCATTCCTTTGAATATCGTTTTCTGTGTCTGATCCTATTTACCACCTGTTGTATTTAAACACCTGTTATTTCCCCGCTCTGCTGTACGATGGTAATGTTTGGGAGGCTCGTGTTTTGTCACGTAAACAGGATATCCTTTCTCTCTTTTATCTGTAAAAAACAAATGTTGTCTGGAGCTCGGGACGTTTCATTTCTGCATATCAGTTTTACACTCACCAGCTGTGAAGGATTATTGATTATATGAAAAGGTTTTTTGCATTTAATTGTTCAATATATTTTATTTTCTGCTTTTTGATTTAAGGTATATAATACTTATCCTATAATCTCCCAAATATACAGTTTAGTAATTGAGATATAATGCTTACAATAAGGCACGTTTCTTTGTTTTATTCTATTTTACTATATTAAGATAAGAAGGACTTTATTGATCCCAATTTGGGAAATGTTTGTGTTGCATCAGCATAAAAGACATGGCATTGTCCAATACAAATGAAAAGACTAGAATAAACAAGAAAGTAGAAAATATATATGTTGAATACATTTTTTGGTTGATTGGTCGGCTCGCCCACTCTGTTCTGATTGGTCCACCCCCGTTACAGCGGAACATCAGTGATTATGTGTTACCATGGCGTTTGTTAGCAACCAGGAAATGACACCAGTGATGACAAACAGATGAGAATGCTGCGTGGGGTCTGGGGGCCGTGTGGGGGGGACGTTGAGGGGCTCGCTGCTCTGCCCTTTGAGGCTCGACAGTGTGAGCGGCATTACTGGTGTTGTTTCCTGGTTGCTGCGTGGGGTCTGCGAGACACAGCGAAACCCAGCCTGAGCACACACACACACACACACACACACACACACACACACACACACACACACACACACACACACACACACACACACACACACACACACACACACCATGTATACACCACTTCAGGGGACATTACATTGACTTACATGCATTTCCTGGAGACTTATCCTAACCTTAACCATAACCAACACACGCCTAACCCTAACACTAAACCTAACCAAGTCTTCACCCTAAAATTAATGACTCCCCTCATGGGGACCTCCAATTTGTCCCCATAAGGGAGGCGAGTCCCCACACGTGATATGTAAACAGATTTAGGTCCCCACAAGTATAGGTGTGTGTGTGTGTGTGTGTGTGTGTGTGTGTAGGGTGCACTTTGAGGGTTTGAGCCTCTGCAGACCGTTCACATGCAGAAGCTTCATAACAACAAGGGGACGGGTGATAACCAGAAAGCATGACATGGGACCTTTAAGGATTTGTGTTCAAGCCAATAAGAAAATAAAATAAAAATAAAACGTCCTTGTCACATGAGGATGTCCTTCCTCACTGCACTGTGTGGTAACATGGGAACAGTTTAATGTTCCTTTATGGTGGAGATTCAAATACTTCCCACTCAGTTTTCTGTTTTGCACATTAAAGTCTGTTTTATTCCCCGTTTGAGCGTTTCCCTGCGTCTCTCCTCAGATGACGGGCGTTCCTCTGAACGTCTCCATCCGCCTGCAGCTCAACCTCTTCATGAAGACAGTGTCAGGAATCACGTAAGGGAATATTCCCCGATCCGCCATAACGCCGTTAATGTGTGTCGTGCATTGTGTTTTTCATTCATGCATTGTTTAATAAGACAATCTTCCACTTCCTGTTTGCATTACCCTCGGTGAACCCTGGGATGTTGTTGTTGTTGTTTTTCAGAGAAACTGGCAAGATCGCTGACGTGGTGATGCCCATGATCTGGTTTGAGGAGGTCAGTTTAACATTATTAAAGCTATTAAGTGTATTTATATATAGATTTGTTACCCTTTAAACAAGAAATATCCACTTTTTCCATCCCATATTTGACCAGTGTGTTATCGTCGTTGTTGTCGTTGTTTGTGTATCATTTCTGTTCAGAAAATGTTGTATAAAAGCATTTGATGGTAGCAGTTATTATATTAAATGTAATATTGAATAATCAATTTCTTGCACAATTAATATACATATAATATATCCTGCATTATATTTGTTACTGGAAATGTGTGTTTCCTCATGAGAATATATTTGTTAATGCTTTTTCTATTTCAGAAACATTTTGGATTGTTTATTTCTTGTGTCTTAGTTTCTCTTTTGAACACTGCCTTGTTTTTTATGCTGCAAACATTTCTTATAAGTACACGGTAACAAAGGTTTTTATATCAAATGTCAAAAATCAAGCGATAAGCATTATCTGAAAATAAAATGTTGAATAAACCTATGTTGCCTTAGTATGACCCTGAGTGTCGCGGCCACAATCATATCGAACTAAAACAGATAGTTAACTTAACAGCCGCTGAGGCACTCGTTAGCGGGTCTTACGCAGGGCAATGATCCAGGTCCAGACAAGATTCTCCGTTGTGCATTTTATTCCTATAACAAAGTACAATGAACAGGTTTCCTATATCTCTTTCCTATATCTCTTTCCTTAAGCCTTTCCTTAAGCCTTTCCTATGGCTTTCCTTAAGCCTTTCCTTAAGCCTTTCCTTAAGCCTTTCCTATGGCCTTCCCTTGTGTAGCTTGAAACACCCTGGTAAGAAACCGTTCGCTTAGTGCTCTGGCTCCCACCTGTCTCCAATATATGCAATTACACCAGCTGTAATCACCCAGTGCCCAAAACATGCCTTCAAAATAAAAGCATAGAAACTACTTTTAACTAAGAATATATATAAATAAATGATAATAATAAACACTATAAACAGCAAGAACATAAATGTTAAACTATTAAATAATATAAAGGATTGGATTTGAATATACTTTATTAATCCCCATGGGGAAATTGTTTCTCCGCATTTGACCCATCCTAGTGTTAGGAGCAGTGTAGGGAACGGTGCCTTGCTCAGGGACACCTCGGTAGCACTTGGTCTTGCCGGGACTTGAACTGGTGACCTTCCAGTTGCCAAGCCAAGTCCCTATGGACTTCGCCACCACCGCCCCTAAAGAGATATATATATAGCTCCAACACTGAGGCTCAACATCATGTGTTTCCTCAGAGTGGGTATATCGACGGCCCGATCCTCTCCACCTTCCACACCAACCTGGTGGTCCTCCCAGCGGTGATGGAGTTCATGCAGTACGGCTTCATCGCGCTCGGCGTCGCCACCATCATCATCGCCTCGCTGATGCACCACAAGTTCAAGGTAACGCTGAAACTAACCGGCACCCTGCTGTGACGCTGTCTAACTGCACGGAGCACGGCAACACACGC